TTCAACATCTTCATTAATGATGTGGACATTGGAGTCAGGAGTGGACTGGTCAAGTTCGCCAATGACACCAAACTTTGGGGCAAAGCATCCACGCCAGAAGACAAGCGGGTGATCCAGGCTGACCTGGACAGGCTCAGCAAATGGGCGGATGAGAACCTGATGGTGTTTAACACTGAAAAATGCAAGGTTCTCCATCTTGGGAAGAAAAAACCTGCAGCATCCTTATAGGCTCAGCAGTGCTATGCTGGCTAGCACTATGGAAGAAAGAGACTTGGGGGTCCTCACTGACCACAAGATGAACATGAGCCTTCAGTGTGATGCCTCAGCTAGTAAAGCGACCAAAATGCTGACTTGCATCCATAGATGCTTCTCAAGCAAATCCCGGGACGTCATTCTCCCCTTGTACTTGGCCTTGGTGAGGCTGCAGCTGGAGTACTTTGTCCAGTTTTGGGCTCCACAATTCAAAAAGGATGTGGAGAAGCTTGAGAGAGTCCAGAGAAGAGCCATGCGCATGATCAGTGGTCAGGAAAACAGACCTTATGACGACAGGCTGAGAGCCATGGGGCTCTTTAGCCTGGAAAAGTGCAGGCTCAGGGGTGATCTGATGGCCAACTATAAGTTTATCAGGGGTGACCACCAGTATCTGGGGGAACATTTGTTCACCAGAGCGTCCCAAGGGATGACGAGGTGGAACGGTCATAAACTACTACAAGACCGTTTCAGGCTGGACATAAGGAAGAATTTCTTTACTGTCCGAGCCCCCAAGGTCTGGAACAGCCTGCCATCGGAGGTGGTTCAAGCACCTGCATTGAACACCTTCAAGAGCAAATTGGATGCTTATCTTGCTGGGATCCTATGACCCCAGCTGACTTCCTGCCCCTCGGTCAGGGGGCTGGACTCAATGATCTTCCGAGGTCCCTTCCAGCCCTAATGTCTATGAAATCTATGAAATCTATGAAATATTAGCTATAGTGTGCTATAGAGTCATCTGTGACAGATGAGCAACACCAAAATGTCTTTGGTGAGTTTAATTAGCAAGTTTCATTTTATTTGTATTATATTGTCTTTGTATTTATTGCACTAATATCTTAATAGGAGGGAGGGATTAAATTGTTGGAGGATACACGGAGTTCTGGTATGAGGACATCTCTAGTGGGAAACAAGGTGTATATGCATATACAACAGTATGCTACATGTAAAAATGACTATATAGTTGTAAAGTCACATCTGCTTTTATCTCTTATATACTGAGCCATATGGAAAATTCTGTAAGAAGGATGTTATTCTCTGTAAAATTGTTTGGTTCATGTTAAAAAGTCCACAAAAAAAGATACCTTCCTCTGTTAAATTCTATAGATTTGCAGTGTTTGCTATAAATCTCTATCAATTCTATTACTAGAAATATTTATAGAGCTTTTTTATAAGGAGGGGAAAAGGAGAACATGTATATCAATGTACCAGAG